AGTTCAATACCCAAATATTTCAGTGTGAAATGCAATAATTATATTTAATTACAGTTTCCCAGACATAGTCTGGAATTGCAAGAAGTTGGGAGTGAGATGGTATCATTTGTTATGTAGATGTGTATGTGTGTCTATGTGGGTCTCCATCAGTTCAGTCTGTGGGAGTTGAGGCTTGTGGAAAGAAACTGTTGCACAGACTGGCTGTGAGGGCCCGAATGCTGCGGTATTACCTTCTTCCAGATGGCAGAAGAGAGAACAGTTTGTGTGAGGGGTGTGTGAGGTCATCTACAATGCTGGTGGCTTTTGGGATGCAGCGTGTGGTTTAAATATCCATGATGGAGGGAAGAAAGATCCCGATGATCTTTTCAGCTCTCATCACTATTCGCTGAAGGGTCTTGCAGTCGGAGACGGTGCAGTACCCAAACCAGACAGTAATACAGCTGGCCATGGCAGGGGTGGCACCACACCTCCAAAAGAGGTGGGGCAAAACATCTTGTTTCCAAAGAAAAAACAGCTGGCTGAGAGACGCAATACAATTAGGCCATTGACTAAAATCGCCTTTCATGTCATGCTAATGCCTTCTTTATAAACCTTTTCAGAGGTCCGTAGTAACTAGTTACATTTACTCAAGTACATGTACCTTAGAAAAATACTGATGGATTTTTACTCTCCTGAGTATCCCTTTCCTTTGGTTTGGATGGTGGACGATAAGGGCTAAAGTGGACTAAATTACACATGTTGGTGTTTGTTTATTGATCAGAAGTTTTGCAGGGATGCAAGCACTTTGCTGACTCATCATTCTTGCTGAAGAGACTAACCACAGTAGTGTCATCAGCAAACTTTATGATGTGGTTTGAACTGTGAGCTGATGCACAGTGGTGAGTCAGCAGAGTCAACAACAGTGGACTGAGTACACTCTAGTGCTCAGTGTGATGGTGTTAAAGATGCTGCCCCTGATCCGGACTGAATGAGGTCTCTCAGTGAGAAAGTCCAGGATCCAATTGCAGAGCGAAGTGTTCAGGCCCAGCAGGCTCAGCTTTCCTGTGAGATGCTGAGGAATGATGGTATTGAGTGTCTATTGAGAGTCTTTGGCACGGCGACAACGGTAGTGGCCTTGAAGCATGCTGGTATGACAGCACTGCTCAGACAGATGTTGAAGACACAGTACCTGGTCGTTGGGTGGAGGGTGGTTTTTCTCGCTGCTACATTGTTCTGTGCTTCAAAACGTGTATAGAAGTCATTCAGCACATCTGGGAGGGAGGCATCAGTCCCTGATTGGAATCTGGTAGCAGGACGTGGCAACTCTCCCGTTCGGAAATGACACGTACTGGCATGTGCCACTTGGCAAATGACACCTGGCATCCATAACTGGTAACGAGTGGCACTGCCACTCATGCCGTGGGTAACATGCGCTGTTTTTGTTTGGCAGGGGCCACCTGTGAGTGCCACTAGTCGAGCAGCGTGAGCGGCAAGTGGCACTCGTTACCAGTTATGGATGTGCCAGTACGTGCCATTTCTGAACGGCTGAGTTGCTATTTCCTGCTGCCAGATGCCAACAAGTGACTGAACCCTTGCTGTGTCCTTGTGTACAGTGAGTACACAGTCAGGATAGATGATGGATTCAGATTTATTCTTCCAACTCAATAAGATGAAGTGATATAACTGTCTATGGTAGCTAACACTTCTTTTTCCTCTGTTCTAACAGTATAGAACACAATAGAGAGTTTCACCCCTGGCTTCATTTTCTGAATGAGGCATAGTAAAGGACAGCCAGTTAGGACAGAGATCATTTGTATATATCCGTCTTATAGTCACAGCTACAAAAACAGCCTGTATAATTCTAAGGGAAAAATGTAAAATCACAGAAAGGGGCTGTAAATTCCCAGATTACGACAATGCCAATGACACAATGAAAGAACCACAATGAAATATGCAGCCAAACATACCTCATATGGAAATTTTAGGTGTGACGGCAATGAGTAAATCGAGTAGCCTCTCTCTCAATACAGACATCATGTGGTAATATTACATTACCCCACCTCCTTGTGTGAACTAATCCTGTTTGTGTAGTACTTAAGTCAGTAATTGTTTACTGAATAGAGTAAGAAACTTTTATCCAGGTCAAACCCATTTTTAGTAGCCTAGTGGCAAGTAATGTTTTCAGTAAAGTTGGCACCAGATATCGGTATCAAGCGGAAAACAGCAGAAAATGCTGGATTGGATATTGGAGGGTTAAAAGTGTGTCCGATCTGATCCTGTAACAAATCTAGCCTGAAACAGCACACACTCACACTGTGTGATATTTTTAGTTGTGTGTTTCTTCCTGTGGGGTAGTAGAGTGTCAAGGTAGCTTGAGCGTTGTCTACTTTTTGGTGCTTATCTTAAGAAAAGTGCTTTAAAAGTTAAAGGGCCCACATCCTGCATTTTTCACATCTTATGTTGAGGTTTAGTAATGTCAACTTATGATGTTTGCTTACAATTTAACCAATACACAGTTTTAAATGTGAGTGTGTGGTGTGTGGCAATTTCTCATACATTTCAAAATGTGTTGAAGGGAGACGTTGGCAAAATGTCCAATTACAGGGGTTTTCAAACATCAAGATGGACATGTAAGATCATGTATTACTAGAAAATCATTTCAGTTTCCTGACCGCTTAGTTCATTTTAAAGCCACCTCTCCATACAGTCAACAATTTTAGAACCATAGCAACTAATTAATGGCTGAAGTAAGGTTTGAACAAATATTTTCGCTAGTGTATTTGATGTGCTTTCAGCTCCCCTGTGACATCTGGACTTGCAGACGTTACTGGTTCGTTACTGTGTTCCTGAATGCTTTCTTGACGAGGAACTGTAGTTGTATCTCTTCTCTAGAGTCCAATTCAAGGAAATATGGTGCTACAGTCCAGTGTTGAAAACCTAACCCACTTAAGCCACAACTTCTTGTACACTTACAAGGAGTATTTATTGAACATGCATGTGTGTAGCGTTTATTTCACAACCTGATTTATGTCATGCAGTTTATGTCACTATTTTGATGGTGCTTATCTTTTTAAGCAAGGTAAGTTTGTTTCCTACTTAAGTGGAACTGTGTGGCTGCATATGTGTGTGTTTCAGTGCTCTGCGCCAGCGATGTCAGGCTGAGATAACAGAGTTCAAAAGGTGAGATGTGGAATAAACTCATACTGCAGCTTCACTCAGCTATCTCACTTTGTAAAACACTACCAACCAATAGATCCTGCAAAATTTTGCTGCATTTTAATCGCAAAGAGAGTTAACCAGTGCTTAACCAGGTGAAAATGGGAACATTTTAAAACTTATTTATAATGTGAACAAAACACCAAACAGACTGAGCATAATGGCCTTCTGAAAATTATTAAAAATACATGAACCTGTTGCCTAATAACTATGCAGGATATTATGGGTGTCTTGGTAATTATTTAAAAAAATAATTGTTTGGTGACATTTTCTATTTGTGAGCAGACAAACATAACTTTTTTGTGTACATCGGGCAGTCACTCCCAGTGCAGACATCCTGTGGTAATATTACATTACTTCACCTCCCCATGTAAGCATAATCCTGTCTGAATAGTAAAACCCCATTTCCAAAAAGATTGGGACGCTGTGTAAAATGTAAATAAATGTAAATAAAAACAGAATGCAATGATTTGCAAATCTCATAGACCCATATTTTATTCATAAAAGAAAATAGAACACATACTAGATGACGATAGCAAGACGTTTTACCATTTCATGAAAAATTTTAACTCATTTAGAACTTGATGGCAGCAACACATCTCAAAAAAAGTTGGGACAGGGGCAACAAAAAGCTGGAAAAGTAAGTGGTACTAAAAAAAACAGCTGGAGGAGTGAATTGCTACTAACTGACATGGGTATAAAAAGAACATTTTAGAGAGGCAGATTCTCTCAGCAGCAAAGATGGGCAGAGTTTCACCAACCTGCGAAAAACTGCATCTACAAATTGTGGAGCAATTTCGGAAAAATATACCTCAGCGTAAAATTGCAAAGACTTTGGATATCCCACCATCTACAGTACATAATATCATCAAAAGATTCAGAGAATCTGGAGAAATCCCTGTACACAAGGGACAAGGCCGACGGTCAATATCATTGTCTGTGAACACCGTTTGCTGTGCAATCCACAAATGCAAGTCAAAGCTGTATCATGTAAAAAAGAAACCATATATCAACACAATCCAGAAACGCCACTGTCTTCTCTGGGCCAAAGCTCATTTAAAATTGACTAAGGCAAAATGGAAAACTGTTCTGTGGTCAAATCAAAATTTGAAATTCTTTTTAAAAACCATGGACGCAGTGTCCTGCAGACTCAAGAGCAGAGGGACCATACAGCTTGTTATCGGCACACAGTTCAAAAGCCTGCTCTGGTGGTATGGGGTTGCATTAGTGCCTATGGCGTGGGCAGCTTACACATCTGGAAAGGCACTATCAATGCTAAACAGTATATAGAGGTTTTAGTACAGCATTTGTTCCCACCCAGACAACGTCTCTTTCAGGGAAGGCCTTGTGCATCTCAGCAAGACAATGCCAAACCACATACTGCATCCATCACAACAGCATGGCTTCACAGAAGAAGAGTCTGACTGCTGAACTCTCCGGCCTGCAGTCCAGACCTTTCACCAACAGAAAACATTTGGTGCATTATGAAATGAAAAATTCTGCAAAAAAGACCCAGGACTGTTGAGCAGCTAGAATCCTACATCAGACAAGAATGGGACAACATTCCTCCCCCAAAACTCCAGCAATTGGTCTCCTCACTTCCCAGACGTTTACAGATCGTTGTTAAAAGAAGAGGGGACGCTACACAATGGTAGACATCGCCCTGTCCCAACTTTTTTGAGACATGTTGCTGTCATCAAGTTCTAAATGAGTTAATATTTTTCATGAAACGGTAAAATGTCTCACTTTCAACATCTGATATGTGTTCTATGTTCTACTGTAAATAAAATATGGGTCTATGAGATTTGCAAATCATTGCGTTCTGTTTTTATTTACATTCATTTACATTTACATCCAAAGCATCCCAAATTTTGGAACTGGGGTTGTACTTCAAGGATTGTTTACTAAATAGAGTATAAAAGCAAAAAGTAGGACCCATCAGTGCCATGAATAGTGTCTACATTTGTACGATAAACCAACGACACAAATCTTTCTTAACAATCCCATGTTTTATTTATCAAAGTATTAAAACTGTGGCAAGAAAACACAAAATGCAGAAAAAAAAGAGAGAATCCGACTGGAACTGAAAACTGGACAACAAAAGAGAACTAAAAGGCAGTTATTATATTATTATGATAATTAGTTGTTACATAGCTTAAGATGCTTAAGATGCATTAATGTTTGCTTTTACACAGGTTTTGTCTTCCCTCTTAAATGCTCTGGACATTTTGAACTTTCAAACAGTAAAAGGCCAGATTCCTTTGGCAGTGCGCTTAGGCACGAACCTGCTGAGTAACCACAGTTGTGATGACCTGTGGCGAAGTTGTGGCGCGAGCACGGATCTTTATCTCGCGAGACATCTGGCACCAGGCACATGGGTAGCAGAAACACAGTGTGCAGCAGTCATCACACCAGGAGCCCTGAGAGAGAAACGGAAAGAGAAATGGAGAGAGAGATTTATGAAATCTTTTGTATGCTCTCATTGATCACAATCTATTCTTTGTAGATATGAAAAAACTGTGGTCAGCCGAGTGTTTTTTTACATGAATGCCGTAGCGCTCTCTTATCTTGCTGCGGAGGCAGCAGGAGAGGCTCAGGCAACAGTCCAGAAGGGGCAAGCAGAAACACCAGCCGAACTGAGAAACGGTCTGACACTGCAGGCAGGGGAAACACCACAAACCACAGCAACCTGCAACAAACGCAGAATGAAGAGGTTAGTGCACTGAAAATTTCAAGACACTTCTTCAAGTCCCTTGTCCACTTCAAAGATGTTATTTCATATGTAAGAATAAAACAAAGATTAATACTTAAATTATTTTGATCAGGATCAAGAAAAAAGATTAACAATATACTAAATGCTAATTTACACATTGTAAACTTAATACACTTTAAGCAGGGCTGGATCTGGCCTTGTGGGGGCCCCAGCTGATAGACGGCAAAATCTGAGGCTAACTAATAACATTGACTACCACAAGCTGTCTAAATAATACCCATTTATAACTGGCTAGTTTGTGTACTGCTGATGATTGGATGCTTGTTTGGGGTTCTAATAAGTTACGATTTAAATTACAGATAACCTTCTCAGCATTCTTGTCTTACGACGCAGTATTTTCTCCTACCCAGCTAACTTTAAGCATATTTCGATCTAACCCTGGTGTCAGTGATGAGAACATTGCTTTTTTACCTTTAAAATGCTTTACTTTTTATATATTTAGGTAGGATAATTTCTTTCTCGTTATTTGACTGTTCATCATAAACCTTGCACTTTCATGTTGCTCATGCACAAAGATTAACCACAGAGTATCTAAACCTGGACTAAATGAGAAATTTGTTTACCGCTGTTGTAAATTATGTTTACAAATTCATGTGTACAAAGGAATCTGCATTTGTTCATTCTGGGGGCATGATTAACATTAACCCCTTACTCAAGCAACTTAGACAACATAATGGTACAGCAGGCGTGCCCATACTTTTGTGGCTTGAGTTCTACTTTTTTCCAGTGGACAGGTCATCATGATCTACCTTAAAAAAATAATGCTAACCCTATTCTGATAGGATTTGCACTGAATGGTGTCAGCCAGGTTTGTGTAGGCTGGACCACTTTTTTCTTCCTGAGTTCACTTTTTGGTGGGAATTCTTTGTCTGGGCATTTCCTTTCTTTGGAAGTGTGATGGCAACTTTACAAATCAAGCAGATGCATTTGGAGTTGTACATTGTACAAAATTGTCCTCCTCCCACTCTGCATAAAAGAGTTAGTGCAGGTTACAAAAGGACAAAAATGGCACTACATGAACTGGCTACTGATAAATGAAAACTTTCTAGATTGCTAGAGAGGCAAACTTACAGCAGTGCTGTAGGCGGGCTGTGGTGTAGCTATGGTAACAAGCAGTAAATTAAAGAGACAGCGGCCACATTTTACGTCAGTCAATCTCGTTGACCCGCCTGCCGCCAAAAGCAGTAAGAAAGTGTTTTTGAGGCATCATCTACCAACGTGCAGTGTGATCGACATATTGGACACCCATGTGGTACAATAATAAGCCAGAAGTTATTAGGTGGCCCCCTGCTTGCCATAAGGCCCCAAACAGCAACTTTTGCCGCATGTAGAGTCAGCACGGCTTAAATCTAATAATCTTTTAACAAAAGATAATTTTAATAATTTTAAACAGCTAAACTATGTAAATAAAATTAATAGATTCAAATAAAATTAATTACAATGTCATGTACTTTATAAAATGTACTTTATACAACTGTTCAAAGTTCAGTCTTAGAAGCTGATTGCACTTTCTGCTTTGCCCAATCCAAGTAATCCCAAACACATTCAGTGATCCTGAGGTCTGGAGGTGAACAGTCTATTGTTCTGAGGCCACCAGCAGCTACTTTGTTTGATTTGCGAATGTTCTGCCTTTTTCTCTATTTCCTTTTCTCAGTAACAGCTTAATGACAGCTACACATCCATTCAGACTCATGGGGTTTAGTTGTCTTCTCTCAGTGGAAGGATGGACAGAAACATTCTCTATAAAGAGTCCCATTTTCTCTATATCTATAAGATTTATATGTAAGATTTTTTTAGAACTCCTGTTTTGAAATGATTACTTTTTCATTTACTTTTCATCTGATTTATTTTATTTTGTATAGAAGCAGATTATTTAGTTACCATCCAATGCCTCATTTGACTAATGAGATCATTAAATTAAATCAGGTGTGCTGCTGATGGAATTTAACAAATCTAAGCAGTGACTGGAGTGAGCACAGAGGAGCCGAATCTGGGTTCTTCTAACTGTATTTTTCTAAACAAGATATTAATAACTTTCTTGAAAACCGTAATTTCTTGTTGTGTTATACTGTGTTTATGTTTATTTGTATTTATTCAAACATTAGGACCCCTTATTACAAGCGGGATGACTGATTATAGCACTTACAGCAAGAAACATCCTTTCTTCAAACGATGACTTGGATGCTTCTTTTATTTAACTGTAAAGTTTTGAACTGTTAACATGCTGGAGGTGCTCCCATTACTTGAGGATGTTAACATAAGACATATGCAAAGAATGTGACAAGTCACTGGTTATTACTAAAGTTTGTGGTTATTTTCTAGTTATGAAAATACTGCCAGTGAAGCTGAAAAAGATTTACCGGAAACTAACAAAACACAAACAGCTTTCCACATAAAGTGACATCATGATGTTAATAAAATCAAAGAGCAGTACTGTTTGCTCAATAGCAGTACTATGGATTTTGAAATATTTTATTCATTTTGTTAATGCGGTTTTAGTCTGACAGTGAAATATGTTAGGAAATGGATGAATATCCTGATACTGAGATACCCAGGCATGAATATCATATTAAACATTGTAAACTTTTGAGCATATACTGGATGTGGCCAAGAGCATTCTCTTATCTTAATGAAAGAAAATAACAAAAAAAATTAAGTAAAAATAACACATCTTCTACAGACAATATATTTGTGCTTATTTTAATGCACAGTTATTAAATTACTGTTTATTTGCTGAATTGAACAAATTGAGGAAAAATAAATAAAACCCCAAATGTGGCCTGTGCAAAGGTTTTGGCACATTTATGTTTTTTTCCAATATGTTATATTCAGCAAATAAATAGAAACTGTGCACTAAAATTTGTAGAAAAAAATGTAAAATGTAAGTTTTCCCCCTGTAGAGATTGTATTAACTTATTTTCACTTCATTTTCACAAAAATCAACAAAACAACAAAACGGCTGTGAAGGTTGGCAGGAGTGCGTGGAGTAACGCTTAGAGTAAACGTTACCATGACAGCGAACAGCACGTGAGGTCCAGACCAGTTTCTGCTCCGCCATGTTGAGCGGTGTAAACTTTCGCCGTGACGCGACGCACATGCGCAGAACATACTTACACGTTCCGATTGGAATGTAATCGGATTCAGGCGTTTACATGGCTATTATTCTTCTATTTAACGGATTATTTAGAAGTTTACCCACCTCGTTTAATCAGATAGAAATTGTATTCCGAATGGCCTCAATCGGATTAGACTATTCCGATTGAGGTGTTTACATGGACGTATTCTATTCCGATTGAGCTATTAGTCGGATTATTAACGGATTATCAGGCTGCATGTAAACGTGGCTAATACCCCTCTCGGCTCAGAAGCTTTCAAAAGAGCAGAGAGAGAGGGAACAGAGAGAAAGGAGAGGGACGAGCAGCAGCATGAAAAACTGACGAGCTGCAAAGCTCAAGCTGGAGAAAAGGACTGAAAAGTCTAGTAGCTGCAGAGAGGTGGCCAGTTTTGGTTCAGTTTTGGTTTTGTTTATGTTGTGTTTTGTGAATGAAAATAAAAAATATGCTTGCTGCAGATGTTTCTCCTTCCTGTACCTAGGGTAGCACAGGCTGTGCTACAGCGGTGCTGAAACCACTGAAACAGAACACAGACATGCCGAGGGAGTCTCCACAGCAAAGGAGTAAGCAATCTGGGCGCTTGTCCACTGGCACCTCGTCGGTCAATGGCTGCAGGCTGCTCTCCACCACACAGACAAGGCAGTAAAGGCAACATGAGGAGCAGCAGATGGCTAAGCGCCAGCTGCTCAGGAGCCTGCTGGCAGAGCGGTATTCCTCAGCATGCCCGGGGCAGGAGCCCTACTCTCATCTATCCTTTGACCTCCCCTCCCTGCTGTAAGAAGGATCGGAGCTCTCCTTCCATCCGTCTTTAAAAAGAGCAGAGAGGGAACAAAGAGAGAGGAGAGGGACCAGCAGCAGCATGAAAGACTGACGAGCTGAAAAGATCATGGAGAAAAGGCCTGAAAAGTCTAGTAGCAATGGTGAGGTGGCCAGTTTTGGTTTTGTTTATGTTGTGTTTTTTGAGTGGAAACCAAAATTTGCTTGATGCAGACATTTCTCCTGCCTCCAGTGTCCTTCCTGTACCCCCGGTAGCACAGGCCATGCTACAGTCACCCTCTGTTCTGGTACTACTCCTCTTCCTTCTCGTCTAATCCTTCTATTCACACGCACACACAGACACACACACACTCTCTAATTTACTTGCATAAAATAAAGTGAGACGTTAGCGATTCTTATCAGAAGTGCAGCTATGAACATCGGAAAACACCACGCCATTTCCGTTTGCAAGTTTGAGACTTCCGTATGGCACTTTGTGTGCGTGGTTTGTGGCCAGTACCTTCAGCTACAAACCACGAAAACAGGATGTATGACCAATGAAGACTTACATTTGTATATTTCAGCTCAATAACGAAAAGCTGTTATATGTATATGTTGTATTTTCATTATGAATGACCAATTAGTGAAAATGATCTAGTTTTGGCTACTGATTTCTGTAAGGCACCTTCTGTACAGCGCGCTTTTTCTCATTCGGCCTGTGAGCTTGTACTGACCGAATGGAATGAAAGACTAAGCTATATTTTTGTACTTAACATGGTGCTTGTAGACCTTATAATTTTATTTAAAACCTTTGGCACAAAATTTACTCCATAGTTATTGAGTTACTGCAGCCTTCCTGTCAGCTTGAATAAGTCTAGCCATTTTCTTCTGACCTCTGTCATCAGCAAGATGTCTCTGCTCATAGAACTGCTCCTAATGTTTTTCTTCATTTTTCACACCTTTCTGTGTAAAATGCAGAAAATCCCAGGAGTTCAGCAGTTTAGTACTCAAACCACCTCATCTGGCTCCAACAAACATATCACACTGAAAAAAAATGAACTTGGCCCTTAGTAAATTTTACATAATAAAATTGTGCATGTTTTTCTCAATTTAAATGTGTTTTTGCTTCAACATTATGGTCTTCAAGTGTCAAGTGGTAGAAGTAATTATTATACATTAGTGCTGCACGGTATACCGATACTTGAAAAGTATCGCGATACTTCGTCATTAAAAACGGTACAGTACCCCATTTATTTGGTACCGGTACTAAATGAATGAGCGTGTTTTAAAATAAGAGCAGTATTTCCAACGAGTGCCACAGGGGCAGTGTGCGCGCACAGGACAGAGTCAGAAGAAAACGCGTAGCATGGCTGCTAATACCAGCGATTTCGCAGACCGTCCTCGGCTTGTAGAAAAAGCACACGCGCGAAGCGAAATATGGAATTATTTTGCATACACATCTGACAGTCAGGGCAACCCCGTGGACACATCAAAACCGGCCTGCAAAAGATGCTTTAAACATGTACAGACCAAAGGAGCCAACGCCTCCAACTTAGCAAAGCATCTTTCTGACAGACATGCAGAGTTCTTTAAAGAATTCAGAGAACGTCAGGTTAGTGAATATGATATAGCTATAACAATTACATCAAGCTCAAGTCAGACGAGTGGGAGTCTTTTTGTGTCAGTCTTTCTCATGAGGCAGTTTAGGGCAGTGATAACTGTTTAAGTTAACTGACTTTATCTTTTTTGGTAACTACCAATGTGGCGAACTGGTAACGTTATGTTTACGCTAACTTCCATGCTGCTAAATATCAGGCGTTCACAAGTAGATCAGCACCAGTTATAAATAGGCCTGTCGCGATAATCACGTTATCGACTTATCGTATGATAAATGAATATGACGTCGATAATTTCGACCTCGATAATGCCGCTGTGTTTATTTGCGTGTATTTAAGCAGATACGTTTAACCAGGCGCGCTGCTCTGTTCTCCCGTCTGCTCTGAGGCGAGTAGCCAAACACAGAGAGAGAGAGATCTGTAACGTCTGTTTTAACACAAGTCAAAACCGCTTTAGTTTTCCCGCGTGTACTACGAGGCAGCGCGGGAAAGTTCCAGACCTTCACGCACGCCACGTCTGGGCTTGCAGCGCGCTCGGATTGAAAATATGTGGTCAGTCAGTCAGCTATTTACCCTATCTGACTCAAACTCAATCAGAGCTGCTGTTGACCGTGTGAATGAGCCTCGTGAGGAATCAGACTCATCCCCCCAGTCCATCACTACAGCAAACGGCCCTATCAGCATAACCGGTGACTGGTCTATCTTTATATGGTAAATATGATCCGATCCGTGACCCTAAAACCAGGATCCTTTCTGATCACTGAGTTTGCGAGGAGATCCCGTTAACACGATTGAGCTGGTATGTCGACTTTATTTAAAAACAGTGTTTAATATGTATGTGCATATGTATACACACGTACACATACAATAAAATCGTTTATCGCGATAAATCCTGGGACAATTTATCGTCCATTAAAAAACAATTATCGTGAAATATCGTTAAAGAAATTCCATAAACTCAAGGATACATAGGACATCAGATCACTGCACACAATGTAATAACAATGTGACCTTTCTAATTTAATTATTTTTAATAATCAAAATATTAATGTTACAAAATGTACATATTGATTGCCAAAAACGCACCTACATGCATAAAACACACACAAACTGCATTTTTTATTGAGCATGAAAATAAACATAAAATAAACAATGACATGAACTGTAAGTCAGCTCAAACTCAGGATTATTTGTTTGCACATTACTGAACATAAATGACTCAATACATGTCTATGGCATAGGTCTGTGCTCTACTGACAACATTTATTTATTTATTTTTTAGTCAAATTATATGCAAAAATTACAATTACAAATAAAAAGTAGTTTACAATCTACATAGGTTATCAAACTGAAGACTGAAATAACTGAAGTCTTATAACTTATCCATATATCAGAGAGCAAACACTGAATAAACCTCACATTGTTAAACTGTTCTGTTTATTAATAAAAAAAAAACAAAGAATTTCTAAGTTCTATGTTCGATCATTATTATTCCATTATTTTTCCTGATGTTTTAGTTTTTTGCTGTGGTATCGTTTCAGTATCGGTATTGAGATATTTAGGCAGGTATTGTATCGAAAGTTATAAGTTTGGTATCGTGACAACACTATTATACATTGATTTTGATGCTCAATAATGCACAAATCCTAGACAGGGAATCCTGATAGCTATATTGATTAAAAGAACCTTGATGTGACTTAAATATCATAGTTGGTTTCAAACTAAAATAATGTTCACAAAATTAAAACAAATAGCTAAATATGAGTCAAATAATATATATTATTGTAAGACTATTAAATTTCAGCCAAAATAATGCACTGTTATGTTCTTCCACATGGTGAGATAAAACATGAAGGTAACGCGATAAAACATTAAAGTAAAGCTTATGTTTGAGATAAAATGTTAACATGGTCTTTCATTTCATTTTATGTAAATGTACTCTTTGTTTATAGGTTAAGGCTTAACAAGGTTGTTGAGTGCCATGTTTTAAAGGATTCTGTTCTAAGTCTCTGGTAAGTGCATTTTTATGATCCAGATTTGATATTTAACTATGCGGCTATTTGTTTTGTAAAGCTACTTTTTATTTATTTGTTTTATTGTTCAAATTAGTAATAATTTTTCAGTCTCTAAAATGATTGTGTTTTGATGTTCATATGTTTCTTTTATCTGTTCCTTGCACGCTTGTCAAGTTCATGTATAGTTGAAGGTATATTCTAACAAGTGCAATCAATATGTGCAGGTGAAGAATGTCCACCGTAAAAGAGAAGCCATCATAAAAGCTCTTTGTCCGCACCTGAATGATGATGATGGATTTCTTATCAAGGAGTACAGGGTAAGTCAGAATGTGACCTAAGCACATCACCATCATTCTAATTCACTTCTAATTTCTAACTAAGGTAAATTCATCTTATTTCATATTTGTGCTCTTTTAAATACCGTGTGTGTCTTCCAGGCACCTCAGTTCTTATATCAGTTGCTAATAACATTTGCTTAATAAAATCAGTCCCCTCCCATCTGTGTAGTAAATCCAAATCGAAACGCGGCGTTGGTGCGTTAGTATGTTAGCACCAACCATAGATTGTAGGTGCTAATGTGAGAAGGGTGAACTAGAACTATCCATTTTGTAATGTGTATTTTACGATTGAATGGAGGTTTGTGGAGATGGGGGCTGATTTTATTTAGATTCATCATAAAATAAGTATTTGATATTAAAAAAACTGTCGGAGGTGCCTGGAAGTATTTAGAAGAGCTCAAATGAGAAATAAACTGAACTTACTCTTTATGGAGCAAGAGTACAATGGAGTTTAGTATTAATAACAAGATTTAATTTGTAGGACATTCATGGTGAAGACATATTGAGAGACCAGCACAGCACTGAAATGGACATTCATGTCATCAGAAGAGGGTGGAGCTCTAGGAGAATATGAAGACGTTGACGCTGATGGAAACATTATTGTAGGAAACATCAAATCAGTTGCACCAGACTGCAGCAATGCTTGGAGTAATCTATGCACTGAATATGGCTTACCACAATGGGTGGAAATGCTGCTATGAATTTGTACATTCCTCATGCCAAAGGATGGTGCAAAGCTCTCCCCTAATATTCTTGGTTTGCAGAACAAAATCTTGGGACAGTCAAAGTAGGCTGTCCATTTTGGAAATATATGGAACTTTTCACACAACATCTCTTTTAAAATTCAGTGACATTTCAATGATTTTCTATACAACACGTCAAGATCCTGGTCATATTTAAGAACAATTTGTCTTAAAACAGCATGCAGTTAAATTTTAGAGTCTTTTTTTGCTAAAGCTGTACAAAGTAGCCTTTTGAACAATTTGAGCTCTATAAATTTTCACCCCAAATTTGCATAGCCTAACAAGCAAAATAAGGTTGTGCTAACTAGAGGCAGTGCTTGACAAGAAGGCTGTACTCTGTAGGCACCTATTTCTGGGGCATTATTTTGATCATTGATGACAACTGGATATTGTATAAAGTCATATAACATTAATACTGTGTTATTGTGCTGTTCTATTTTAAATATCTACTGTTGTAAAGTTGCACTTAAGGTTAGTGTTATCATTACATAATTACTGAATGTTACTTCATTGTTTCACAAATTCTGGGCCAGTACTTAAGACTTAATTAATTGTGATTAAAGGCACACACATTTAGGTGAATGTGTTTATAATTGCAGTGTTCTGTTTGAAGCTTATTGTTGTATGTAAAGTTGCATTTTAGCTTGTGTTGCCTGCTAGACAAGCAATAATGTATTGATAGCGGTGCACTTTTAGAGAAGTATTTAGTCTATTTTTTTACTACTCTGCTTTATTTTGTCTACAGTCTTATTTTATTACTTAATATTCAGTGTTTTTCTATAGTGGTAAAGCAAATGTGTATTTTAGTTGATCCTAATATACATGTGCATTTGATTTTAACTAAAAAAAGTTATCTACAATCTACGTAATTTGCTTAAGTAGAAAGAACATGATTCATTTTAGTTAAAGTTACTGAAGTTATTGAAGTAAATCCAGCAAAATAGAGTTAAGTTGACATTGCTTATAGGTAATGAGTAAATGTTACTCAAATTATATATCTGAATGTAGATAATTTAATTTCGTGCAAAACTTTGACGAAAAAAAATTAAGTAAATTTCAAAGAGTCATTTTTTTGAGTGCATGGTAATTTTTCACCATTAAGATGTTTGACATGAACCTTAATGGAAGGGCATGAATAACTGGCTGATTGGATAATTTGGATAACTGCATGACTGAGCAGGTGTACTGGTGTTCCTAAAAAAGTGTGGTGAGTGTAGCTTTCCCATATTAACAAATAATTTTTACTGCAGGACCTTCCGCATTACATTCATGTACACTGAAGCTAAGAACATTTTATACTTCTCCTGTAAAATGACCATTTCATAGGTGCACGGTTTTGTTACAGGTGTGATATGTTGGTTAATAACCACCCCATGTTTGCCAAAGAATTAAATTACCCCATAATTCTACCTTGATGCACATCCATGTGTGTACTGACTTACATGTGCCCATGTCTGAGCAGCAGTCGCAGAGGCCTGTGGTCCATGTTCCAGAACTATTCATTGTGTAGTTTGTCACTGAGACAACCTGTTGCTGGACTGCCATGACTATTACTAGAGAGAGAGAGAGAGAGAGAGAGAGAGAGAGAGAGAGAGAGAGAGAGAGAGAGAGAGAGAGAGAGAGAGAGAGAGAGAGAGAGAGAGAGAGAGAGAGAGAGAGAGAAATGTAACTGGAGATCATAGTGTTGAGCATCACATGCTGTACTCAAAGACAAATCACGAGTTAATGTGATGATGACTAAATCTGACTAGCTAACAATGGTCACACTGGTTTGAGCAGAAAACACATCTAGCTACTGTTGAAAAAGGCAACTTAGCCAAGTAACTTCACAATGTAAAGAATCAGTCTTATCTGAAGACAAACATTTTTCTCAGTACTGAGACAGTGACTTGTTTGGAATTTTCTCACCAAAAAAATTGGAAAATGAACTTCAAAAAACACAAAAATGGAGAAGTGGTCAGGATTTCAGATGTGTTGGATAAAACCTTCAAGATCAGTTAATTTTACCACCCATAAACAAGCCTACGATTAAGGGCTGGCTTCTTCTTCTTCAAACCTAGTCTTGGGACTGAACTTCAGTAAATCCTTATTGGAGTGTTTTTTTTAGTCTGGACTTAATACTAACATGGGTCTGAGAAACTTGCCCCAAACATTTTATGAAGCATTTATCATGAAGGTTATACATGGAATGCCAAAATGCTAAAACCTGAGCATAATGACTAATTTGAGTCTGATAAGACTTAATTTAACTTAATTTCATTACTTTAAAAAAGTATATACTGTACTTTACTCTAATAAAGTCCAATAAAAATCTAACTCTGAGTACATTTGTTTTTATGTTTTTGTAAGTCCCTTCAATGTAGATCTACTAAATTCCATGAACATCTTGCCTACTGCACTACATTGACTGGTGCTGTCAGTGAGGGCTGTGGATTCATGGCTTGGTCATTGTAGGCAAGTCAAACTAGCATCTTACTAGGCAAACAAATAATGTTCAATATGAAAGAGATTTTTGTCTTTTAGGCACTTACCTGTGGTGTTTTTCGTGTGGTGTGTATGCTGAAAATCCTTTAAATTCTCTAGGGACTGAAAGCAGTTTATGGAGGCAGGGAACTTTTCCTCTGGTGGAAGCTACGAAAATGCCCCCAGCAGAGCATCCACTGAGTGCAGGAGGCCACGCTGTACACCATGAGGACGATAACGGCCACGCCTCCACACTCACCCCACAGCGTACCCTGTAAACACACTGGCTCTCTGAGACGTCTGGTAATGCTTTTTTAAAACACGTCGGTTAGACTTCTGTGCTATGCAGTACTTGTGACTCTAAAAAGTGCTGTGTTAGATAACAACACACTTACACACTTCTTTTAAGTTATTCTGTTTTCTGATTTAACACATTCTTTGTTAAAAGTAACACAAAACGTGTTATCCATGGGTGGGCACAGAAATATTTCAACACATTTTGTGTCAAAAGTTGCTCACACACTGATGTGTCTAGTTAGAGACAGAATGTGTTGTATTTTAACAAATCTGTGTTTAGACTATGGGAGAAGGACGGTATATGAATCACTGAAACAAAAACATCTTATGGTACAACATAAAGAAGTTCATGCACATAAAAGGAGACGCAGCGCAACTTCTTTTTGCTTTTGCTGCCCCTCTGAGGCAGAAAACCACATGAGCAGCCTATAGCTTCTGTAGTGTTTTGCCATGGCTGAGTTAAAAAAAAAAGGTATAATTCCTCAGGATGGTTATCTATACATAATGACTATTCGCACAACTTAGAAATATACTTATTATCTGTGTTTAAATGGTTAAATCATACTGTTTATGCCATGGAGTCGAGTGACCCTTTTAAGAAATGATATCTAACAAAAACATAAGTTGTTGAGGTCATACACCAAATTTGCGATAGTAGCCTGCATGAATTACTGACTTCCTTGTACTAAGCTGTGGAAATGGGCGGAATTATGGCTGGACAATGTCTTTGTTTACTTGACTCATGATCAATAGGCATAATTCACAGAACAAGGTTTTCTCAGTTTTCCCAGATAATTTGAGTCCAAAGATGTGGATCCTCCAAGAGCCAAAGACCTGACGGACATTCCTATTGGACAATCCTCATCTTTTGCGCTCAAATTATCTGGGAAAACTGAGAACACCTCCTTTGTGAAATTCCCCTCCTTGGATCTGAACTCTCCAGACTGATAGCTTTATTACAGAGCTTCTTTTAGTTGATATGGTTTAGACAGATAGGAGACAAATGCATGTGTACCTCACTCACTCATCACCTAAGCTGCTTATCCTTCTGGATTGTGGGGGGTGCAGGAGCCTATTGCATGTGTACCAAAAAGTGTTAAATTTATAGTGCATGAGTGTACATAGAGGGAACCATTACATCACCAAAACAATAAATCATGCAAAGTCTGCAGCTGGCAATGTAATTCTGGTGTTGATGACCTGATGGATAATTTTCAACATATGGAAATGAAAATAAAACAGGATCTTTCATAGCTTTTTTCACTAGTAGCCATATTAGCACAGCTGATTGTCTTGATGTTTCTATTTTTATTCCATTTTTTATGTTTCAAGTTATACACAGTTAGCAACGGTCAAACTAATTAGAAAAAAATAGTTTGATCATGTCTTTCAATGCTGGTCAAATTCCGCAATGGTAAAAACACCTGGGGCCAGATTCACAAAAGTGTCTTAAGAAATAAAATCCTCATAAATGTGCATTATTTCTTAACTTCATTCTTAAGAAAAAAGTTACAAAAATTGTTATTCTTCAAATAACTCCTTAAAAATGATCTTATTTTCTTTTCTTAACTATTTTCTTAAAAATAGTTCTGAGAATAAGTGGTATTCTTGAAAATATTATGTTCTTAAATGTTTTCCTAACCTTATGATAGCTTCACAGTCGTCTCAGGTTGCAAGAGGTGACAAGGTCAGCATCTAAATGTATCAAACTCAGACTCCTCTCCTGCTTTTTGCCATCACCCCACAATTATGTTTTCCAAGAAAGATATTTTCATGTTTGCCGTTTCTTACACCATCACCTCTAATTCTTGTTTGCTACATTTTTTAAATACTTGGTTTGATGTTTTTCCCCCATTTTGCTCCTCTGAGCAGATTAACCTAATTATGGAAACAACAGTTAATACAAATTCAAAATGTAACCTGCGTCATTTATGCCACAAGGTAAAATGCAACGTAGCCTAAATAAGAAAACAATGAAGATTTTCTTAAGAAGATCTTAAGAGAATAGAGAATAGAATAAGAGAATAAATTCTTTTTAATAACTGCATTTAAGAACATTCTTATGAACTTCTTAATGTTTGTCTTAAGAGCCTTTGCAAGTTTTTTCTTAAGAAATCTTTCATAAATCCGGCCCGATTCCAAAATGACAAGTTCAAGAGTTCACACGATGCTCACAAACATCATTAAAAGGGAAGTCCACCGATTTTGCAAAATGACTTAATCATTCAACCGTTTAGATGTAACCAAAATCATTCAGAGTGGTTTGGTGTAAAATGCGCCTTTCTAGAGAAATTTACCGAGTCAACATTGTTCACCATTATAGTACTAGGAACCAGACGTCCGTATGTCTACACTACAAATATCATCATTTTATCTGCTATCTGCTAATAGGAATTGGCTTAATGGTTACCATTAGAGACCACTAGTTTTCTGTAGCACACCTTCAGATCCCATTAAGAAACCATCGAATGCATCTGGAATCAGATGCATTTTATGGAGCAGTTCCATAAAATGGTTCCAGTTTATGTAACCATTAGAATACAGTACACCGTGATGTCAACCCATCAGGAAAACACAGAATACCATTAGTGACTACTGGACACCACCAGGAACCAACAGAGACTTTTTTGTCCTCCTGCCAGTTTATGTCAAGAATGATCATAGAATGATCTTTTTCAGATGGGGGTCCATCCAGAGAGGATACAGTCTTCGGTTTAGTTGACTGGACTAACACACATAGTAGCCATCACCGCCTTAGTGAAATGTTTGGAACAGGGGGGTCGGGTCTCTTTTGACATAAACTGGCAGGAGGAAAGAGAAAGATCATTTTTACGCTCTTACATTTTCACAACATAATGCGACCAGTGTGGGATCCACAGACGTACACAGGAGTCTATGATGGGACCAGTTTTTCTTCTTGGAGGTTGTACCGCCACCTGCTGATGGTGTGGCACTCAAGATACAGCTAAGAGACAAAACTTCTGCTTGTTTTAATGATTTTTAAATATGTTTTGACTAAAGTTCCAGACTGATCTCTACTATTTTTATTTTATCCTCTTCAAATGCCTGATTTACAATATTTATTTGTAGAATATATTTTAACTGTGATCAGGGGTGGTCTTTGCACTAGGCAAATATAGGTAGCTGCCTAGGGCCCCCATGAGCCCAGGTGCCCCGTGCCAGCTGCTGTTAGGACACAATGAAAAAGGGAGAAAAGCAAAAAGTTTGTCACTACCCAAATCCCACCCAAAGTTAACTTTGTTTTTTAGTCAGAACAAAGTGCTGCTGCACAGGTTTGCCAGACTACATATAATGCTAGTGTGAACGCTGGTACAGCTCTGGAGTTGGGGTAGGTCTTCAAAAGAAGTAATTAAACTAAGTTACTAATTACTTCTATCAAACTGTACTGGAATTACAGTAGTTATTATTTCCTGGAAAACAATGGAAATAAAAACACAATACTTATTGATTTACTTCTATGTTACTCCACATTATTAAATTATCTCACTATTTTGGCAGGTAGTTTAGCTTGTTTTAAGCATATTTCTTAAAGCAGGCAAAATGACCTGCTCAAATAGTGAGCCAATTTCACTGAATAAAATCTAAAAGTCTAAACATAAATTGAATAACTGTATATTATTATACATCTCAAAGTGAGAAATATTAACGCTAGATTTTATCAACTGCATGAGTTCTCTAGCCAAGATACAATTTTTTAGAGCACCAGAATCACTAAATCCACCCCACCGTCATACAGCCTTGAATCAAAACGCACAAAAGGCTGAGGGAAAGCAATATTAGCAGTATCTTCAGTTATGGGTGCTTAATTCTTTGCTTCCTGAGGGCATGTAGCCACACACGCTACCATATTACTACCATGTGCTGAGAATGGTCCACCATCCAGACCATATCTAGTCAGCGGTGGCCGTATGATGGTCTGTTTTCACTGACAGGCAGACTAGGGCAGGGGTGTTCTCTTCTGATCCTGGACAGCCAGAGACCCGCACACCTGATTCAACTCATCGGTTAACTGCCAGGTTTAGTAGGTGTGTTTGACCAGATAAAGCACCAAGCTGCTGAACTGCAGCCCTGATAAACTGTGCAGCAACAGATGGGCTACAGTCAGTAACTGAAAACCTACAGAGTGCACAGATATAGATGTTTCTGATAAAATGGCCAATGAGCATAGCAACAAAGTTTAACCAAAAAGCTGCCAACAGTGTGAAGTGGCAGTCTAAAAAAAACGGTAGAACGTTTTGAAACCAAGGCCTTCAGTAATACTATACAGTGTCTATACATAGTTGTTAGTGCAATACTGCCGCCTAGTGTGAGGATTTGGCATGACATGAATATGAAAGGTCGACATATCTGTGACGTAAGTTCCTACAGATTTTGCTCTATTGAACTGACGTCAAGCACTCCTTCGGTCAATTATGGCGTCAGAATGTGGAATTTCAGCATCATAATCCACGTGTAACTTGTAAATCACCCAGTTATTCAAATCCAGTGTCCGGTGTTGGATAGTGGACCTACATCCTTCTTGCTGTCTTGTCTCCTCGGTCTGCGTTTTGTGGAGGGTAAAGGAGGAGGGAATGGAGGAGTGCACCACTATCTATATATCTAAGGAGCTGAGGCAGGCCAGTGCACGCTCTCTCAGAGACGACCATCAAACGTCCAGTTCCGACCCGGGTTTCGCTCTGTGCACTCACAGGTATGACACAGCATTAAGCTGATAGACAGTTAGAGGCAGAGGTTAACTGGCTATTTGCTGAGCATTGTTTGAACTTCGGGTTTGTCGCTCTTAAACAGATCTGGCCATTTACAGCAGCCCCACTGTAAAAGCCTTGGAGTGCGGCGCTCCTTCGGCTCCACTGACCTGCTGCACTCCGCCCTCTCACACACTCAGCTCGCGCACAGCAGCGTTTCTCTCGACGATCTGGAGGGGGCGCTGCCGCTGCGTTCAGGTAAGTGTGCACTGTAAGGCTTTTCTCGGTCCAGTACCAAGCCATACCAAGGCCGTTATCATGATACTTTTGGAAGCCTGTTTGCGCACGTTAAAAAGGGAATAATGCGATTTTATATATATATATATATATATATATATATATATACCCTCCTCTGTCCCAAGACTGGACACTTTTAAAATAAACAATGTTTTGTTATGAAAAATGTTCATCGCCCCACACTATATAACACAGTACATTTTAAACATTTTGTTTACTGTGGAGCATATAATGTTCAGCGTCCAGTCTGCTGGACATTTGGGATAAACAAATGGCTTTTCAACACTAACATATTCACTGATTTACATTAAGATATCTAAAATGAGCAAATGGTTAAACAACCAAGATAACGGATGCAAAAGGTTTGTGAACCTCTAGGATAATGTCACATTAAAAAAAAAGGAAAATTAGAGTCGTGTTCCCCCTCAGTCCAGACAGGTCTGATCTTCTCTCTAAATCAAAAAACTTATTTTTTATGGATAAAAACACAAATTTTGCCTACCTTCTCTTCAAATCAGAAGAGGATCTTAACTAAGGAGCTGGAAACATCACATGTTCATGGTCTCCAACAGTGGTGTTCAAGGGGGTTATCAAACTACTGCTGTCCAGACAAACAGCTACACTAACCTTTTCTGGTGGCTGTACATACAGTAAACACAGCGAAAGTTATGTGTTTTAGCTTGGGTCTGTTACATTGATGATGACAAAAATCATATGATGGTGCGATATCAGTAATAATATGTTCATTTTCAAATCAACTCCTGCAGATTCAGTGTGCCTAATTTGTTAATTTAATTGAAATGACTAAAATATATAAATAAATAAATAAATAAATAAAATCTAGGAAAAATAAATCAAATCTTCAATATCTGCAAATGTTTAAATGATCATCTGGTGTCACTCATAAGTAAATGAAAGATTCTACGTTTAACAAAATACAAAAATCTCAAATAATAATTGTTTTGTGAGGTATGACTCTACCATACCAATCTAAGCACAATTTACTACACCAGATTACTGGACACTAAAAGGGGAACTGCACCAATTTTACAAAGTGACTTAATCATTCAAAGCTTTAGATGTAATCAAAATCATTTAGAGTGGTTTGCTGTGAAATGTGCCTTTCTTAAGAAATTCTGAAGAAAAGTCAAAATTGTTTATTATTGTAGTACTAGGAACCAGACATCCTTATGTCTACACTACAAATATCAACATTGTATCTGCTATCCAACATCACCAGTGAACTGTGTCTTATACGTTTTATATGTCATGCTGATAATGGTACAATAGGGCTAAATTCACAAAAATATATGTTGTCTTTGAGTACTGTTTTTTCCCTTACAATGCCCTGTTCTTTGGGTTGGCAATGTTGCGTCATATTGTTCAGAATGGTGGTGAACTGTGCTGTACCAGGATGCATGGAGAAAATACAGCATGGTACTTTGTTTTGGTTGCCATTACACATACTGGAAATCCTAATGTTGTGGCTAATTGTTTTGAAGCTACACACAAATATGAAAGTCAAACAACTCCTTAAACTATCTCACCAGAGCTGGAGCTAGCCAGGCTGCCATGTTTGTTTTTGTTTACAACAAGATAAAAAAAGAAAACCTTCTAATAAATGATTAATCAGTAGAAAGACTGAGCTGGGGTGACATAACCGCTTCTATAGAGCTAGAAATCTTGTGAAAAAAAGTCCAGTACACAGGAAATTCAGAATAAGGAAGCCACTACTGTTGCGAAAACTATTTTGACATACTGTCCAGTAAGTTACCTTGTGGTTTTGAATGCAGCCTCTGTCTTATGCGGCTGTCTGCCTGTTTATGTACATCAAAGGCAGAAGGTAGATGAAAAAGTGTTTCCTTCTTTCTTCTTTGTTGGTGACAGCCTGAAGAATACTTTCAGGCTTCAGTGCTTTATTTTAGACCAAAGTTCTAGTGCAGTTGTAGTGAAGTCAGTACCTAAGTGTAGGGTAACCAGGCAACCCTGTTTTTGGTGGCCTACCCCAGAAAAGTCCCTGGGTGTAACTGTGAATTAAAAATACACCAGAAAGTCCTAAGAAAGACCTGGCATCAGAGCAGGTGGGCAGACGTTTTGCATTGTGCTTGTTTTGGCCAACAGAGGGGCTGGTCTACTAACCACATTGACCACTTGCTCACCTAGTTTTAGGGAATACTGCTGTGTAAAACTTGACCAGCAAGTGTCTAGTGAGTCCACAGCAGCACCACAAACGTTTTTTCAAGACACAAGGTAACCCAGGAATGAACTGTAATGATTTTGTATCTGATTTGTTTAGGCATATAATAAACTTAAATGTAGGCTACTATGCGATCTACATACAGTGCATAATTTTTTTAAACTACGTTTTCAGCCATGCATATGCATATTTTCTTTATTGAGTGTTCCATAGTTTACTCATGGTAGGCTACTCTATGATTTTCTGACACAGTTTACAATGTTATTTATTACCGAATTTTATCAGTCAGCCTTTACCATAGTTTATTACAGTACAACAGTTACCATGGTCGAAATGCATGAAACTGGAAATTGTCACCTGTTTTTATTTCACAGATAAACACATTAGATATTTTAATGACATATTGGCCACCAAACTGCAAATGTCCCTGGTTTTCATGTCAGAAATCTGACCAAAGTGGCAAAGTGTTTTGCTTTATTTTGTTTTTTTACACCAATATATTATACTTTTCCTTTATCCAATTTGTTTTTGCCAGGCTACGTGTATATCTACATGAGTCATTATTTTATTAGAGTAAAACTACCTTTGTTTAGTCTACGTACCTCTGACTATAATAGTCAAAATAGAAAGAAAAAAGACAAAAGAGTGTCAAGATAATGGGCTTCGGAAACTTATTTCTGTACTGTTTCCATCTTCCAGTCTCTAAAGGGGAAGGCAGAATGGAGCACCAGCCCCCCAGTGCCACAGAGATCTGCCTGGTTGGCAGCAAGTACTCTCTGGATAATGTAGCAATCCCTTCTGGTGGAGAGGGGAAAAGCAGCGATGGAAAAATAGTGGTGTGTGCAGAGGAGGATGAAAAATGGGAGGATGCCAGAGAAAGTGGGGCACAGATAGAGGAAGATGTTTCAGGATCTGTTAACGATAATGATAATGAGGAGGAGGAAGAGGAGGCGGAGGAGGAGAATGGCATCGGAACCAGAGCCCAAACTGACTCAGTCAACTACGTGCAGGTTTAGCATCTTAGGTGTTACCTCATCTTACAGCCTGTAATCCAGACACGCTTCTGGACCTAGTCTTGGCTTAGTACACATACAGTTGAGCTCTTTAAGGTCTTAAATTGAGTTAGGGTTGCTATAACTGGGAAAACAGTAAAGTGTGCATTGCAAGGCAACTCTTTAAGCCGGTTAAGGTGGCCTAAAGTGAAATTTGGCAGTTACGTGTTTAATTCTATTAAAGTGTAGACTGTGAACATGTATATCTGTAATAACTAAGGACATCTCATAGCTTAGTGTGCTAAACAGGATAACGAGTTTGCTAAGTTATTCAAAATGATAATTAATTGCAGCAACAGCTTTGTTGAAATAGCAACACCTTTATCAAATAATAATTCAGCATCATAAAACAGCATCATAACATGTAATCGATGTTCATTTTGCAGTTTCATAGTTTACCACAGAGCCTGGTCCCTTCAGAAATCACTCACTGCCTGTTTGAGCTTGAGGTGGGTAACGTGTGGTTGATACTTGTGTGCTTTATTTTTATCTTCTTGCATACTCATAATAATATTTATTAATTAATTACTGTATTCATCAGGATACTGAAGGCAAAAAAGATCCTGATCTTAGATTAGCACTTACTGTGATGGGGAAGCAGACAAAAAACAAAAGAAACATTGTAGGTGGTTTTTCTGTGCAGAAAGAATGGAGAGGAGTGGAAAGAGAGAGGGAGAGTGTGATGTGGAAAATGGAAATGATACACCGCAGTGTGCAGACAGTACAGGTACAGAAACAAAAGATATTAGTCTCTATTTATGAATGTATAATTGGTATTAGGATCTATGAAGTTACAAGTGCAGCTATTCCTTTTCAAGCTACAATACTGTTGATGTCATAAGCAAACATTGCATCTTAGAAATATTAACTCAGTTTCTTTCTTTTTTTGCTAAGTTTAACATATTGGAAAAAATAAAATATAAAATGTGCCATCATTTTTGCACAGGCCCCATTTGATGTTTTATATTTTTTCCCAATATGTTGTGTTTGCACACGACTGTATCTATGTGGCATTCTACCATTTGTAATATCTGTGTCATACACAGGACATTCTAAGGACGCTGTTGACGCACCTGGTTGAGGCTCAACATTTTAATGCAAACAACACCAAGACCTCCCAACATGCTCACCTCACATCACCTACTCCAAACATCCATGTCACTTTCTCATCTGCTCAAACTCATTCAGTCCCTCAACCGTACATCTCTGGCTACACCACTATGACTGAAACCCATGCCCACAACCCCCAACCTCACCCACACTGGCAAGCAGCCCACACTGTGGCCCGGAGGCCCTCTGAGACGTGCCTCACCCACCCTGCTCACCCCCTCCCCAGCCCCTGCTGCTCAGGCATGTTTGAGCCACCCAGCTGTGCTCAGCGCAGGAAGGAGAAGATGGAAACCTTCCACATATTGACAGAACTCAGGTATCAGTAGAGACAAAACAGAACAATATCATTTTCACTGTAAATTCCATCACAAAAAACCTTTCCCATATCATTGGAAGTATAATACTCAAAATAACACTTCTCTCAGGAAGGTAGTCTGAAGTTTAGTCTTATTGCCAGATGATTGTAAATCTAATGATGACAACAGAGCATATTCTGGCCTGGATGTTGTGATGTGGAGTACATGAAACATCAAAAAAAATCTTTGTTCTTTTTCATAGCTCAGTATTGTTTTGCTAAGGCTTTGTGTCTGTTCCAACTTGAAAACGGAAATATTGTGATATGTATAATGTATTGAAGTATTTATGGCATTATATTTATACCACATTGCTCAGCTGTCTGTGTTGCGAATCAGTAACCATCCTCAAAGACAGTGGTCTTGGAGAAACCCGGTCCTGCACTTTTTTAGTAATTGCCCTGCTCAAAGTCACCCATTCCATCTCAGGAAGGGCTTGTTAATTGGCTGATTAGTTGGACCTATTGTGATAAGGTCATAAGAATGACCACTGAATAAGTAGATTTATTCTCCCTGCTAAGAGAGAGTAATATTAATATTAATATTAATATGTGTCATAGTCACTGGAATTAGTCTTAATTAATGGATTGGATATCAACAAATCTGACCAATCCACATTCAATACTGTTTCTTAGTCATGACTGTTATGAAACTATAACAGTGCCCATTTATAAACTTTTTATTATTATTATTATTTAAAAAAATCAGCAGGAACCTTTATTATCTCTCACCTCTCCCTACTGATCCATGTTCTCTCTCCTTTCACCTGTCTTTTCTCCTCACCCCATCTGCCTTCACTCCCACTTCCTTTCTCTCTCTCTCAGGGAGAGTGTGGGGAAGGTGCGTTTGGCTCAGGAGCAGGACAGTAAAGAGATTCTGGCTCTGCTCCATGGATTCCAACAGCAGATTGAGTCTTTGCTTGCACGGCAGCAGAGTGCTACCCAACTCGACCACCAGCGGCAACAAACCAGCAAAATCAACAAGCTGTGAGTATGTTTACACACACCATCGAGCAGTGTTTCCCAACCCTGGTCCTGGGGTACTGCTGTCCTGCATAACACTCAGGAAAGGCTTGCCATTTCTTGCAGAAGCATTTGGTGTAAGATAACTACAGCTGACAGTGTGTGAAGGTCAGCTGAAAGGTAAGGAAACAGTGTAATCATGTGACTGATGAGTTATTTTTCCATGCTGTAATCAGAGATCGAGGTTTCCTAAATTTCTTAGTCAAATGACTTTTTCAGTTAATGTTTTACCCATGCTGCAGATCCTACATCACTGAAGGACTTTTCAGACAGGATTAGTTTTACACGGGAAGATGGGTTAATGTAATTATTAACAGTGTTTTACAGTGTTTAACAGAGTTTTGCTGTGATTTTGGTCTCATTTGAATCCACTACATCATGGACTGCATGCTCCCATATCAGTTACGATTTACAGCTATTATCTACTAAAAACAAACTGTAGATATAAGCCTGGGTTAAATCAATTCTGCGCAGATTGCCATGTCGGTAAATATTCCATTATATCCTGTGGGTAAAGGAGCTTTCAGTTTTCTTTAATTGTAGAGATGCCTTTACTTGTATTTTCTGTGGTCCATATGAAGCCGATATGTAATGTCCTATCTCAAATGTATGACTCTGAACTTTAAGGGGCCGATATCATCATTTTTGCTTTAGAAATAAGACTTTGATGTAGTATGTAAGCCTTGTTAAAGTTTCAAAATGTACCTAGCCCACACAGTTCATATATGGAAACTAAGCTGCAAAAACACCTGTTTTGAATTCAGTTTTTGTGATGTCATGAAGAAACAAATAATTAACATATATCCACCTATTCAGCCTACAACAGTTTAGCCCCGCCTATTCACAATGAACTTATATGGAGAGTTTCACCCTGGCCTGCTTTTCTGAATGAGGCACAATATAGGACAGCCAGTCAGGCCAGGCATCATATATATATAATATATATATATATATATATATATATGGAAAATGGCCATGTAAAAAATGAATTAAGATGGTTGTGTCACATAAACCCATCAGGTAATAATCGGTTAAAAAAATAAATTCAAGAAACATAGGATATGGGCCCTTTAAAACATGTAAAATCACAGAAAAAGTGCTGTAACTTCCCAGATAATGACAATGCCAATGATACAATGAAAGATAACAAGGTAGATGGTTAGTGTAAGCCATTTAAATGAAATGTTTGGACAAGTTTTCAACTTGTGAGCGGCCAAACATATTGTGTATGGAAATTTGCATAATTATTGCATAATAAATCAGGTAGCCTCTCTCTAAAAACAGACATTCCATGGTAAAATTACATAACCCCACCTCCTCCAGTAAACTAATCCTGTTTGACTAGTATGATTGTTTACTGAATAGAGTAAGAAACTTTATCCAGGCCAAACTCATTTTTAGTAGCCTAGTGGCAAGTATTGTTTTCAGTAAAGTTGGCACCAGATATCGGTATCGAGCGGAAAACAGCAGAACATGCTGGATTGGATATCGGAGGGTTAAAAGTGTGTCCGATCTGATCCTGTAACAAATCTAGCCTGAAACAGCACACACTCACACTGTGTGATATTTTTAGTTGTGTGTTTCTTCCTGTGGGGTAGTAGAGTGTTAAAGTAGCTTGAACGTTGTCTACTTTTTGATGCTTATCTTAAGAAAAGTCCATCAATCAACAATAGCTGATTTTAAAGGGCCCATATCACAATTTATATTTACAGTTAATTTAAAATTACTTTTTACATGGCCATTTCCCACCATCTTTTTATCCTTGAATTGAACAAGCTTTACTTAAATAAACATTGTACGGCTTAGTTTCTGTGTATGGATTGTACAGATGTTATAGTTTTAGTTTCAAGGTTTCAAATGTGAGTGTGTGGTGTGTGACAATTTCTCATATGATATCATTTCAAAATGTGTTGAAGGGAGACGTTGGCAAAATGTCCAATTACAGGGGTTTCAAACATCAAGATGGATGTTTAAGATCATGTTTTACTAGAAAATCATTTCAGTTTCCTGACCGCTTAGTTCATTTTAAAGCCACCTCTCCATTCAGTCAATTTTAGAACCATGGCAACTAATTAATGGCTGAAGTTAAAATTGAACAAATATTTTCACTAGTGTATTTGATGTGCTTTTAGCTCCCCTGTGACATCTGGACTTGCAGACGTTACTGGTTTATTACTGTGTTCCTGAATGTTTTCTTGATGAGGAACTGTAGTTGTATCTCTTCTCTAGAGTCCAGGAGTATTTATTGAACATGCATGTGTGTAGCGTTTATTTCACAGCCTAATTTATGTCATGCAGTTTATGTCACTATTTTGACGGTGCTGATGTTTTCAAGCAAAGCAAGTTTGTTTTCTACGCAAGTGGAACTGTGTGGATGCATATGTGTGTGTTTCAGTGCTCTGTGTAAGCGATGCCAGGCTGAGATAACAGAGTTCAAAGGGCAAGATGTGGAAGAACAGCAGGATTGATATCTCCTGAAATAAACTTATACTGCAGCTTCACTCATCTCTCTCTCTCTCTCTGTAAAACACTACCAACCAATATATCTTGCAATAGTTTGCATTTTGCTACATTTTAACCGCAGAGGTAAGTTAACCAGTGCCTAACCCAGTGAAAACAGGGAGGTTTTTAAACTTAGAGTATAATCTGACCTGAACAGCAGACAGACTGAGCATAATGGCCTTCTGAAAAAAAAAAAATGAACCTGAAACTTTTTTTCATGTAATGCATATATCAGGTAGCAACTCCCATTATATCATCCTGTGTTAATATTACACTACTCCACCTCCCCATGTAAACATAATCCTGTCTAAATAGTACTTAAATTAAGGACTGTTTACTGAATAGAGTATAAAAGCAAAATGTAGGACCCATCAGTGCCATGAATAGTGCCTACATTTGTACAACAAACCAACAACAAAAATCTTTCTTAACAATCCCATGTTTTATTTAGCAAAGTATTAAAGCTGTAGCAAGAAGACACAAAAGCAAGAAAGCAAAAAAAAAAACAACAGCAAGACAATCTGCCTGGAACTGAACTGATTTGTTTTGGTTAAAGCACATCCTAAAAGAACTAAAAGGGAGTTACTACATTATTAAGATAATTAGTTGTTACATAGCTTAAGATGCTTAAGATACACTGGTTTTGTCTCCCTCTTATATGCTCTGAACATTAACTTTTATATCTGAACAGGAAAAGAGCAGGTATGTGCAGCAGTCCGCTTAGGCACGAACCTGCTGAGTAACTACAGTAGAAGTTGTGGCGTGAGCACGGATCTTTATCTCGCGAGACATCTGGCACCAGGCACATGGGTAGCAGAAACACAGTGTGCAGCAGTCATCGCAGCAGGAGCCCTGAGAGAGAAACGGAAAGAGAAATGGAGAGAGAGATTTATAAAATTTTTGGTGTGCTCTCATTTGGTGGAGTGATAAGTCACTGCTCTGACTGTGTGAGTCTGATTCACACCAGAAGTCTTGCTCATATCCACTAAATTACTGGTGGAGAAAATTTCACAATCTATTCTTTGTAGTTCTACATTTTTGTGAAAGTGAAACAAACTGTGGTCAGCCAGGTGCTGCATGATTCCCGGAAATAACTCAGCCCCTTATTAGCTACAAAGACTATGGAAATGAAGTTGCTTGTCTTACATGAATGCCGTAGCGCTCTCTTATCTTGCTGCGGAGGCAGCAGGAGACGGTCAGGCAGCAGTCCAGAAGGGGCAAGCAGAAACACCAGCCGAACTGAGAAACAGTCTGACACTGTAGGCAGGGGAAACACCACAGGGCACAGCAACCTGCAACAAATTTAGAATAGAAAGGTTCAATGACAACTTCAAGACACTGTTCTTCAAGTCAGGGCCTTTTCTGGACATTTAGGTCCCCTTACCCACTTCAAAGGTGTTATTTCGTATGCAAGAATGAAACAAAGATTAATACTTCATTTATTTTGGATCAAGAAAAAAATCAAGATTTCAAGAAAAAATATTATCAAGATAAATGCTATGTTACACATTAAATTGAAGACACTTTAAGCAGGGCTGAATCTGGCCTTGTGGGGACTCCAGCTGATACACTGTAAAACCGGAGGCTAACTAATAACACTGACTACCACAAGCTGTCCAAATAATACCCATTTCTAACTGGCTATTTTGTGTACTGCTGATAATTGGATGCTTGTGTGGGGTTCTAATAAGTTACGATTTAAATTACAGAACGTTGCTTTTTTACCTTTAAAAATGCTTTACTTTTTACATATTTAGGTAGTATGATGTCTTTTTCTTTATTTGGCGACTCTTCCTCGTGTTTCACGTTATTGGCTGTTCATTATAAACGTCACACTTTCATGTTGCTCACGCATGAAGATTAATCACAGAGTATCTAAACATGGATTAAACCTGGTTATAAATTATGTTTACAAGTGAATGTTTTTCTCCTTCTCTTTTTTCTATTTCTTGACTCCAGATGAATATTTTCATTTCTGGGGCAGTTGCTTTTGCCCCTCTTACTTGAGCAACTTAGACAACATAGTGGTACATTAATAAGCCAGAAGTTGTTAGGGGGCCCACTGCTTGCTGTGAGGACCTAAGCTGCAACTTATGCCGCATGTAGAGTCGGCACTGCTTAAATGTAATAATCTTTAAACAATTTTAAACAGCTAAACTGTCTATGTAAATAAAATCAATAGATTCAAATAAAATAGAATACAATGTAATGTACTTAAAAAAGATGTATGTGGTGTGTCCATCATGCTCTTTCAAATATCGGCTATCTCTATACAAGGCTGTGCAAAAGTCAGAAAACCATCCTTCATTAATTTAATTTCCAGTCAAAATGGCTATTAATTACAATTTGTTCATTTTTTAGCATCATAAGAAAAGCAGAAAACAAATATAAAAAACAGAAAATTACACAGAGGGCTAAACAACAGTGTCCACCTTTGCCAATATTATAGCTTCCGTTCTTTTCAGAAGACTTGCATTCAGTTTTTCAAAGAAATTTGCAGGACTATTTTTTCACTCCTTCAAAGTTCAGTTTTAGAAGTTGGCTGCATTTTCTGCTTTGGCCAATCCAAGTATTTCCAAACATATTCAGTGATCCTGAGGTCTGGACTCGTAGACATAGACAGTCCATTGTTCTGACGCCACCAGCAGCTACTTTTATTTGCAAATTTTCTTCCTTTTTCTTTATTTCCTTACTGACACTACACATAGCGTTGAGTTGTTTTCTCACAGTGGAAGGATGGACAGAAACACCTGTGGATTTTTTTTTATCTGGAGCAAGAGATTTTTTTTCTCCTCTCTCAAAAATGAAAGCTTTAAGAACTGTTTATCTCATTTTTTTGAACTCCAGTTTTGAAATGATTATTTATTCATTGACTTTCTTCTTCCTAATGGATTTATTTTATTTTGTAAGGAAGCAGGTTATCTGCATTTATTTGGAGTGAGCACAGAGGAGCCGAATCTGGGTTCTTCTAACTGTATTTTTCTAAACAAGATATTAATAACTTTCTTGAAAACCGTAATTTCTTGTTGTGTTATACTGTGTTTATGTTTATTTGTATTTATTCTGAGATTATGTTAGGACCCCTTATTACTAGCGGGATGACTGATTATAGCACTTTTAACATGCTGGAGGTGCTCCTATTACTTGAGGATGTTAACATAAGGTACTTAGAGAATGTGCACTGAGCCTTATAGAAGCCTGCAAGAAGACATATGCAAAGAATGTGACAAGTCACTGGTTATTACTAAAGTTTGCGGTTATTGTCTAGTTATGAAAATACTGTCAGTGTAGCTGAAGAAGATTTACCAGAAACATACAGCTTTCCATATAAAGTGACATCATGATGTTAATAAAATCAAAGAGCAGTACTGTTTGCTCAATAGCAGTGCTACGGATTTTTATATTTAGTTCATTTTGTTAATGCAGTTTTAGTCTGACAGTGTAATACGTCAGGAAATGGATGAAAAAGTATGTTTTGTAAAGTTTTCAAGTGAAAAAAAACATATCCTCTACAGAGAATATACTTGTGCACATTTTAATGCACAATTGTGTTTATTTGCTGAATTTATCAAATAGAGAGAAAAATAAAACCCAAAATGTGGCCTGTGTAAAAGTTTTGGCACACTTTATAATTTATGTTTTTTCCCCAATATGTTAAATTCAGCGAATAAAAAAAATTGTGCACTAAAATTTGTAGAAACATGCTTATATTTTTATATTCATATTTAGATTTGCTCCCTGTAGAGGATGTGTTAACTTATTTTCACTTAGAAAACCAACAAAGCATATAATATAACTAGGAGTATCTAAACTTGTAACTGAAGGGCTGATCCACAGCACTACTTAATAAAATGTCTCTTTTCACCACTTTATGTGACCTTCTTCCTCAGATATAATGTCTCAGTTTAAACCATGGCAGCCAATATATATCCTTGAAATTGTTTACATGTAACCCGATCCCTGTGTTGTTATTCCATTATGCTAACACCAGCATATTTCTCCTCAAACAACAAACTAAGTGTCCTCTTCTTCCACACCGAATCACCCTCTGTTCTGCTACTACTCATCTTCCTTCTCTGTCTAATCCTTCTATTCTGCCAATATCACACACACACACATACACACACACACACTCTAATTCACTTGAATTTACACATCAACCAATCCCTAAAATGGAAAGAGATGTTGGTAGTTCTTATCAGAAATGCTGCTATAAAAATGTGAACACACCCGCCTCGTTTCCGTTAAGAAAGCATGAGACTTCTGCATGGTTCTTTGTGTACGTGGTTTGTGGCATAGGGGGGGATAGGTGTGAGGCCAATAGCTTCAGCTACAAACAACCATAACAGGATGTATGGCCAATGAAAACTTAAATTTGAATGTTATATTTTCCCGAAAGCCGACATGCTAAAACACCACATTTCAGCTCAATAATAAAACGGCTGTTATATGCATATGTTGTATTTTCATTTGAAATGACACATTAGTGACCATGATCTAGTTTTGGCTGCTGATTTCTGTAAGCTTCCCTCTGTTACATTACAATCTATAGGGGCCCATTTACATCCCAACGGACTTGTTAAATTAAACAAGCATATTTTTTCACATTCGGTCTGTAAGTTTGTGTTCCTTGCAACAAAAGACTAAGCCACAAGTGAGTCTTCATGAAACTGAAAAGACAGCCATGTCAACTAAGACTTGTCAATAAAACGTCAAATGAACAGCTGTGACTTTCCCGTACTGGCCTCTTTATTAGGAACACAATTCTAATACCCCCCATGCTCTCTGAATATCCTGAATTCTTCATGACAGGGATTCAACTCATTGTCATGCCCATGGAACCAGTTTGAGATGACTTTGCTTAGTGACAAGGTGCTTTATCATGATGAAAATATAAATTAGAATATTTGTAAAAAGAAAATGTGAAAGGACCATAAAGGAATGTTCATGGTCAGCAACGATACTCGTGTGGCACCATTGTTTTAAAAAGTGGTTAATGAGTTACTGCAGTTCCTGTCAGCTCAAACAATTCAAGCCATTCTCCTCTGACATGTCATCAGCATCAAGTTTTCTGCCCATAGAACTGCTCTTTTTTCTTTTTTTAACACCTTTCTGTGTACAGTCCACAGACTGCTGTGTGTGAAAATACCAGGAGTTCAGCATCTGACTGACAACAACCATGCCATTGCCATTTTCTCTATTATGTTTGACTTTAATGGAAGTGCATGAATGATTGGCTGATTAGATCATTTGGATAACTGCATGACTGACGCAGGTGTACTGGTGTTCCTAAAAAAGTGGCGAGTGTAGCTTTCCCATATTAGCAAATAATTGTTATTGCAGGACCTTCCACCTCTTTCCATATTGAATATGTAGCCAAAAATGGGCATAAGACGATCTCATTACATTCATGTACACTGAAGCTAAGAACATTTTATACTTCTCCTGTAAAATGACCATTTCATAGGTGCACGGTTTTGTTACAGGTGTGATATGTTGGTTAATAACCACCCCATGTTTGCCAAAGAATTAAATTACCCCATAATTCTACCTTGATGCACATCCATGTGTGTACTGACTTACATGTGCCCATGTCTGAGCAGCAGTCGCAGAGGCCTGTGGTCCATGTTCCAGAACTATGGGTTGTGTGGGTTGTCACTGAAACAACCTGCTGCTGGACTGCCATGACTATTACTAGAGAGAGAGAGAGAGAGAGAGAGAGAGAGAAAATAAAGAGAAATTTAATTGGAGATTACAGTGCTGTACTCAAAGACAAATCATGAGTAAATGTGATGATGACTAAATCTGACTAGCTAACAATGGTCACACTGGTTTGAGTGGAACACATCTAGCTACTGTTGAAAAAGCAACTCAACCTTCTTTTTTGATAAAGTTACATTGTGGCAGAGACACAGAAATCAGAAATATCCGAAATAGCATTTTGTGCTATTGGGTCAACCTCTGGACAAGTTTAGACATCATCCTCAAAGTTGATCTTAGCCAGCCACCACATAAAGAATCAGTCTTATCTGCAGAGAAAGTCTAAGAGGAAAAGTTTTTGTAACTGAGACAGTGACTTGGTTAGAATTTTCTCACCAAGAAATTTTGCAATAATAAACTTGAAAAAACACAAAAATGTAGAAGTGGTCAGGATTTCAGAGGTTTTGCATAAAACTCTGAGGTCAGTTCATTTCACTAGCCATACACAAGCCTACCATACAGTCGATTAAGGGCTGGTTTCTTGGACATGGATCAAACCTAGTCTTGGGGCTGAACTTCAATGCCAATGGTAAATCTTTATTGGAGTGTTTTTTTAGTCTGGACTTAGGACTAACATGGGTCTGAGAAACTGGCCCTAAACATTTTATGAAGCATTTATCCTGAAGGTTATACATGGAATGCCAAAATGCTAAAACCTGAACATAATGACTAATTTGAGTCTGATAAGACTGTTTATCTGCAAATGTGTTGTTTAATTTGATTACTATAATAAAGTATATACTACACTTTATTATAGTAAAGTGGAGCCATCAGTGAGGGCTGTGGATTCATGGCTCGGTCATTAGGCAAGTCAGACTAACATCTTTCTAGGTAGGCAAAAAATCTTAAAAGTGCCAATATTAATGAGGCCTTTCTTGCTTGAGTTTATTCACCTAAATTATCAGGCCTATTGCATACTAAGACTTATTATTCAGTAATTACAGGGACTCCAGTGCTGTTGTTAGATTATAGAAGTGGTTGACAAAACTTTGGGCCCGCCAGTGGGCCCTGGCCATTTAAGGGGTTAAATATTATCAGGGTTAAATATTAACTTCATCAATGGTTTAATAAACTGCCTTACCAGTTTTACAGTCAGTATATGAAGAGGCAGTATAGTTTTAGATCAACAGCATGCAGTCTAAAGGAAATGTGCACATCTACTTCTCACTAAGCTATTCTTCCTCACACTTTCATAGCAGGCATTTGTTGAGCTTAACCATATTTTAGTATTCAGGGACAATGTGTTGTTTTTTGACACTTCTGTTTGAAGTGTGGACAGTCCATATGTTGAAATTAAGCTGCAAAACAGACTGTATTTAATTACTGGTAAAGCAGTGTGAATAAATCTGAGGTCAGCCAGGAGACAACACTGTTTTCTAACGTAGTAAATCTCTGTCTTAAGTTGTTTATGTCTTCCTCTCCACCCTCCATTTCCTGCTCATCACGATAACCAGTGGAAACAATTCAGAGGTCTTCACTTCGCTGCTCTAACTATCCAGTGTGCTTTTAACGACTTAACTCCAAATTCACGATCAAAACACTGACATTTTGGCGCAAACGTGCAGGTATTTAACTAAACAGTTATTTCAGAATTAGAGGCAAAATGTTAAATGCTGAAAAGCTGTATTCTGTTATTTCAAGTCAAATGTCTAGCCGCTCGAACACCATTTTAATGTGCCAGTAAAACCGCACAGCGTAGCCTTAATTCCGTCTCTCCTTCAAAATGAGGACATGAGACCAGGCTTCCTCCTCAGCACTGAACTATTATAAGTGGAAGTGACAGCGAAAGACAAACGTGTGTTTAAAAAAAAAGACAGTGTTGGCCTAAAAGTAATAAAGAAATGAAGTTTTTGTCTTTTAGGCACTTACCTGTGGTTGAGTGGTTCGAAGAAAATCCTCTAAATCCTCTAGTGACTCAGAATGAAAGCAGTTTGTGGAGGCAGGGAACTTTTCCTTTCGTGGGAACTAAGAAAATGTCTCCAGCAGAGCATCCACTGAGTGCAGGAGGTCCACAGTGTACACAGTGAGGACTACAAAGGTCACGCCTCCACTCATGGTGGACGTGCTCTGATACGTTTTACAGTTGTGTGCTAGGAAAGGTAATGAAAGGCAGGTGTGTTGCCCAACTGAAAAACCCTAAAACGAGCAGAACAAGATCATTAGTATAATAAAGGGCATGGAAAGGATACGTTGGACGAGAAGTTGTCAGGCAGGTTTAGCCCATTTACATTTATTTTATGAATTTTCATGATGAGAGTGGGCTTTACACGTTCAAGGCCACTGCTATGCTAATATCACATTAATTATAGAAGTAAAAATGCGGGGTTTTTATTCTGTTAGCTGTTATTCATTTCATACCTAATTATACCCGCTGTGAAGGTGCATATTCGAAGGAAACCACATAGGCTGCATTTTCCCTCTCAGAACAGGCGAGCAGAGCAGAGGAGGAGTAAATGCGTTAACTGCACGTAACGGTCCGCTGCGCACACACACACACACACACACACACACTCACTCACTCTCTCTCTCTCTCTCTCTCTCTCTCTCTCTCCACGTGAATTTGGTCGAGGGGCCAGGAAGGGAGTGTAAGTGGCTCGTGATTGGTCGCCTTTAACTTTCATTTTCTGAAAACTGAAGACGTTTTCTGAAGACTTTCCTTAACTTTCGGTTTTGCTAAAAAAGCAAAAAAAAAACGTTGGCAAGAGGGGAGGAGAGGGGAGGGAGTTCATGCTCCAGTGAGTATAGACCACAAAACAGCTCCTCTTTCCTCACACTAAGCTGTTGTTACTGAATTATTCAAATTTTTGTTTGATGTAAAACGTTAGCCTATACATTTTTGAACACTGTAAATAACTGATGTAAATACATCGCAGAGACAGCAGTAACTCTACTGTATGTCTGAAATACAGACTGCTGTAAAGAGCGATGTATTATGGGAAGTTAAAATGTTGGCTATTGCAGCAGTTAGCTGTGATTTAGGAAAAGAGAGCTGCACTTTGAAGCTTCCCAGCATTCCTTACGGTTTTGTTCTTTTTTGTTCATTTCCTTTTATATTTTCATCTACAGTTCACAGTTTTTATTTAGTTGTATTGTGTTATTCCCATCACAAAGTAATGTATTTTACATGTTTTTTATACGAACCATGATGGTGTTTTGTGTCTAATAGTTCTAAATAGTTCGTCCTCTAATTACTGGTGTGAGAGCAGATACTGCTGGAACGCGACTGATAAGTGGAATTAGGCTGTTGAGTGTTGATCATTTTGTTAACCATGCATGAATGTTCAAGGAGCTGCTGTCAAAACTTGCTAGATAGTTTTGCTGTGTTTGCATATATCTTTACATGTTTTATGATGTAATGTGGTAAAAGCTGAGGGTCCTTAGTCAGCTGTGGGGGTACATAAGAGCACATACAAGCTGTTCAAAACCGTACAATAATCAAGCTTGTTTAGAAATACAATAAAGTGCTGTAGTTGAATAATACAGTGTGGACACTCTTAATAAAGGGTAAATTGCTAGACAAACTGCTGCCAGTAAATTGCAGTTTTACACTGAAATATTTTAGATTGTAGCCTAAAATAAGACAGTGAGCCTATTTACCATCATTAAATTGGCCAAGGGCTTTATTAAAAGGCACTAGATAGAATCAGACTTTATGGCATAAACATCATAACACACTATATGGACAAAAGTATTATTTAGTTCAGGTGTTTCAGCCATATTTGATAATGGCTGGATCAAATTAAGCACATCATCTTGCAATCTCGTAGAATGAGTCATACTGATGAGCTCATGACTAAACATGGCACTGTCATAGGATGCCACTATTGCCACAAGTCAGTTGGTGAAATTTCTGTCATGCTAGAGTTATTGTGAAATGGAGACACTTAGGAGCAACAACAGTTTAGCCACGAAGCAGTAGACCACGCAAATTCAGAGTAAGGTTGTCGAGTGCTGAAGTGCACAGTGCCTATCCTCTGTTCAGTCACTCACTAAAGAGTTCTAAATTGCCTCTGGAAGCAACATCAGCAGAAGAACTGCGCGTTAGGAGCTTCATGGAAATGGGTTTCCATGGCCAAACAGCTACACACAAGCTTAAGATCAAAATACATGATGCCAAGCATCGGATGGAGTGGCCACTAGATTCTGCTGTGGAAACGTTTTCTGTGGAGTGACATATCATGCTTCTCTATCTGGCAGTCTGATGGATGAGTCTGGGTTTGATGAATTCCAGGAGAACATTACCTGTCTGACTGCATTGTGCCAAGTGTAAAGTTTGGTGGAGGAGGGATAATGCTATGGGCTTGTTTTTCAGGGGTTGGCTGAGGCCCCTTAATTCCACTGAAAGGAAATCTTAATGCTTAGCATACCAAGACATTTTATGCCATTCATTATTCGTTTTTGGCCTTCAGAGATTTATCCAGATTCTCTGAATCTTATAATGGTCTTTCACAGAGTGGTGAATCTTTACTTCTGAAAGACTCAGCCTCTTTGGGATGCTCTTCTTATACCCAGTCACATTACTGACCTGTTGCCAATTAACCTAACTAGTTGTGTGATGTTCCACCAGGTGGTTTACCAGTCTTTTGTTGACCCCATCCCAACTTTTCAAAAATGTGTTGCTGGCATCAAATGCAAAATGAGTATATATAAAAAAATATCTAGTAGTGTGTTTTGTAGATGTAGCAGCAGATGGCGCCCTCACTCTAAAACTCACTAATTTTTTTTCAGTAGGTCCCCAGACTCTCAAAAACCATCATGTGTTCTGTAGAACTTTTGGTTTGTTCGTATGACGTTACATAAGCCTGTAGGATTCTTGTTGAGTGGAGACACATAAACCTCGGGGACCATTTTAGGGACCCTCACTGACTTCCAAGTGGGTCCCTGTCACCTCTGTCATATCATTTTGTATGAAAGAATGAAAAATAACTAATACTTAATTGTGATAAAGAAAATAAATGAATAAATAAAAATACTAAGTTAAACAGGTAAAATGGAATATTGAAAAACATATTTTACATAAAGAAAACAACCAGTACACAAAGTTGAAATAAAAAAATGAAATAATAACTACACACTGTGTGTTTAAGTGGCATGCTGCTTTCTGCTTTCTTTGTTTTGTTTTGGTTTGGTATGGTTTGTTTTTTTTGTTTTTGTTTTTGGATGCAAAGTCATCAATGATGTCTTAAAAAGACATTGAAAGTATTATGACTTACACAAACAATATTAAGAAGATGAAGAAAGCTGCATACCTGTGGACCTCCTTATGGTTTGGTGGCCCTTGGGTTTTCTTACAGCCCTGGACCTTTAGCTTGGTTAATTAGGTCAAAGACCTTAATTGGATGGCATTATTTGACTGGCATGTAATATAAATACACTGGGGGCAAACACGAATGTACAGCCCAGAGGGCCTTATGACCAAGTTAATCTGCTCCTGTTGGTAGTGATTTTCTAAGGAGAGTGTACAAGCTGTTTGCACCACTGACATATTCATGTAGACATTGCATTGGCAGCTGGATTGTGCATCAACGTCATCATACTGGTCCAGGAACCTTGTCATAACTCTCAGAAGGCTGAACTAGAAAAAAGATGCGTGAATCGTGTGCAGCAACAAGTGTAACATTATGTGGAGAACTAACTAGTTGGCCACCAGAGTCAGACTATTATTAATAGCTAACATTAGCGATACCGCAAGCAATATGAAAGCTGAGATTTTCATCTTTTTGGTATTTTTCTCCAAACCAATTTTTATGACAAGCTACTCGTGTCACCTAAGTGACTGACATTGTGAAAAATGACAGAAAAAATTTATGTAAAAAACTATGTAAAAAAAACTTTCTGCACGTTTCATGTACATTAAATTATATAGGGACGTCTCCACAAGTATTAACCAAGGAAAATAAGCCAAATCCATATTTGACAAACAAGAGTTTTTACAATTCCTTATGACAGTGAATTATTTTCCACTACATTAGTAATTCAGTTCATGGGAGCCTAACACTGACACACACTCCTCTCTTCAGCATCTATCAAGATTCGAAGTAACTGGAGCCAAAACATTTTTGAAGTCAGTTAAGAAATGTAAACGTTATAGTACGTTTTGTCCTGAAAAACCACAGCACCCCAGTTTACTTGTATTTGTTTACAGGCCAGTCTTGCCCAGACCGGTATGGCAGACACGTTGACGTATCACAGCAACAGGCCAAAGTGGCTGGTCCGGTGACTATGTCAATCAGTCAATCGATTAACCTTTATTTAACTCCGAGTACACTGAGGTACACTACAATGTAGCTGAGCCAATGCAGAAATCAGGGATTGATGGATCAAGATTGGATTGTACAAACATATCAAACGCTAAAAAGTAATAATAAGAAACATAAAATAAAATCAATCAAATCAGAATAAATCATTAAAATTGTAACAATATAATAATGTAATAAATAACAGATCAAATAGGAATAAAATAAATAAAAAAAACTTTTAATGAAATAAATAAAGGAGTAGAAGATGTAAGACAATAACTCGGCACTAGCTAGGAAGTAAAAGTTGATAATAAATAAAAAGAATAATAAAAGTAACACGCTAACTAAACATACCAAAATCATATTAAAGTGAACTAAAATCAAATAAAACAGTTACAGGCTGAGTGGAGGTGGTTAGAGAGTAAAAGTTTAAAATGTTCAGGTGACGCTATTGAGCAAAGCTTTAGAGTTTCCGGTAATGAATTACAGCTCACTGCTGCACTGTAGCTAACCTGAAGGGTACTTGAAGGGTAATCCAGTCACTGGAACGAGTCTGGTAAAATGCATCATTTATGCTGAGCATTTTTGTGGTGTACAATGGAACATGGCCAGTAAGCGCTTTTTAGATAAAAAGAAGCCAATGTGTCTCCTGATACACAGCCAGAGATGACCAGCCAGGCTCTTTTATATAGTACACAATGATGGGCATTGTAAGGGGTACCAGTAATGAATCTTAAAACAGTGTGGTATACAGAGTAAACATTTCAGAGTAGTTGCAGATGCATATCTGTATATCACATCACCTTAATCCAGAATAGGCAATAGCGTTGCTTCAACCATCTTTTTCTTTATATTCATTGGGAAACATACTTTGTTTCGACACAGGTAGCCAAGTTTTATCTAAGCTGCTTATCCTCCTGGGTTGCAGTAATAAAAAAGTCATCTTTCCGCTTTATTCCCATGTTTGAGTGGCTGATCTTAGGTCAATTGCTAGCGATTACAGCGATAGCTAAGTAGTCATTTCTAATTTCACGTTAAGAATAATGTAAAACACATTGTAACTTAACCCCTTATTAAGTCATGGACCCGCCGACAGGCCCAAAGTTTTATTACACACTTATACAACCTATGAGTAGCTCCATTAGTTTGCACTGAAGTCCTTGTAGTTACTGAATAACAAGCCTTAGTATGTAATAAGCCTGAAATGTTAAGGGGTTAAAATCTAGCCAAGATGAATCCTGTCGTTC